GCAGGCAGTTCCCGGCATCGCCAGCATCCCCGGGTTTGCTGAGTGAATCGGGTTTTGTTTGGAGGCTTCCCGCCGGGAAGGCAGCGGGGTCGCCGAGGTCGGCTGGATATCCCGCGGCTGCGCGCTGGGAAAATCCCGTGGAGCTCAGGCAGCACCGGGAGACAACGGGGGCGGGGGGGACACCATGGCCGGACCCAGAGCAATGGTTACAGCCAAACCCCTCTTCTGCGCTTCCACAAAAGTACCCATTCGGTTGGCTTTTGCAAAGCAATTAGAGTTTAAATTAATTGTCACTCAGCAAAACAGCATGAGGGGAAGGGGAAGTGAGCGGGGTGCCTAGCATCCCCTTCCCATGGGATGGAATCCCCACCCATCCCTTTCCCACCCCAGCGCACACCGAGGAGCATCAGGGCTCGGACAAAGCAATGTCTAAAGGGGGGAAGGACAGAGAAATAAAGGGAAATAGGAAGGAAGTGGGGAGAGAAGGGGGAACTGTGCTGAGCTGTGGCCAGAGGGGACGGCCACAACCGCCCGTTCTCACCTGCGCTGCCTGCAGGTCCTCAGCCCCGGCTGGCTCCAGCCCATCATTTCCAGCTAAGCAAGAAGCATTTCTTCCCGGACCCCCTCCAGCTTCCCGTCAAAAATGTCACAGGACAGGAAGAAAACGTGCCCCTGACCCATGCAGATTTACCGCAGGGGCTAATTGCTCCCATTAAACCCAGGTAACCGTGACTCCCACGCAGCACCAGGCACGTTGGGAAGCCACGAGGAACACATGGCTCCTTTCGAGACCAAACCCGCTGAATTCTCTCTGTGCTGACCGGGGGTGGGGGTTTTCTCACCCCAGGAGGGGCATCTCCTCCTCACCCTGCCCTGGCCACTGCCAGGCCTTGCTCCAGCCCTTCCCTATAGGAGGAAGGGCATAGATTTGGGAGGCAAGGCATGGATTTGGAAAGCCACGGCAAGAGGCGACACCTTAGAGCACAGAGGTACCTGTGTTCGGACAGGCCACGGCAGGGGCCACAACAGATACAGCTTCATCCTTCCTCCATCCACACCAATGGCAAAAAAAAAAACCCCCAAACCATCCTCTTTTCAAGGGATTCAAGCTTTCAGAAATAAAACAACTCCTGAAAGCATCAGGCTTGCCTTAAAACAAGCAAAAGAACCCACTGCCACCCCTTACCTTCCCCAACCCAAGGCTGCTCCCATCCCTCCCTGCACCCCGTGCAGGTCAGTGCCTGCAGCTGTGCTGCCTCCGGGCTCTCCCGCTCAACCTGCCCCAGCTGTGCTTTTGGGGGAAATTCAGGTGCATTGTGGCAATGCTTATTGTCACCAGAGAGACATTTTCTGCGAGCAGCCCAGAGCAGTGAGGGGACACGTGTCCTGTGGGACAGGGCCACCAGCCGAAGCCTGCTTCTCCTTGGGTTTATGGCAGGCGACAGGAGATGACATAGCACCAGTGAGAGCTTTAATAAATTATGTGTGTACTGTTGCCCTCTAAACGGGATCTGTCTGGTTATTACTTTCCTCCGCCGGTCTAATCCAAACTTGACTTTGGATGGCAGGTACACCCCGCTGCTTCTCTGCTTCCCGCTCGGAGACGTGCAGGGTTCGCTGGGACCACCTGTGCTGGCGCGGCTGGGATTGCCGTGGATTCTTGCTTGAGTCGGAAGATGCCGGTGCCCACCAAGCTACGAGAGCGCTCGAGGCAGGCGGGTCTCTGAAACGCCACCTTAGACACACCGTGCTGCTTCATGCGTGGCCGAGGTGGCAAACTGCTACCAGCAGCTGGCACGGCGGATCTCTGCCAGCCCACGAAGCCAAGCCGCCAGGCATCCCCCCCCGAATGCATAAAAAAGGCGGTTTTACAGCTTTGTCCCAAACCTCAGAAGTCGTGGCTGCTCCACCAGCTGTCCTGATCCCCCCCCGTCCCCTTCTCCTGGCTTGCTCCAGCTCCGTTTAATGGGATCGGACGAGCTAATCCCCCGTGCGCCCTCGGCGGGGTTATCAGATGGGATTTCTGCACCGGGGGCTGGAGGAAAAAACCCATCGCCCAAGGAACGGCGTGCCCTCACCCAGCCCTGCTGCCTTCAGCCGGAAGCAGAGTTCGCCTTTACCCTTTGCTCCACGGCGGGGCTCCGTGCGGTTCCTTCCCGCAGGGAGATGGCACGCGTGGCTCCGGCTCCATCGCCCGCACCCCGAGTCGGCGGGGGGACCCGCGGGCCAGCGAGGGACCGGGGGCTGCAGCACACGTGGACATTTCAGCATTAAATGACAGCCTTGTTTTCTGTTGTGTTTTTTTAAGAGGCGGCATGCCTGACCAGACCGCATTTCTTGGTCTGCATCCCATATTTATCCTGTAATTACACCTTCGGACAAAGGCTGCCTGTCTGCGAGACGGGTTTTTTTTTTTTTTTTGAGGACACAGTTTTATTATACGCTGTGCTTTCACCGTAATGAAATCTTGGGGGAGGGGGAGGAGAAATCTCCCCGCAATTTGGGGGTGAAAGATGTTCTTTCTCGAAACCTGCCCCAAGAGAGAAGGAGCTTGCCCAAGCCCTCTCCCTTCCTTTCCTCCAGGAAAACCCAACCGCTGACATCCTTCTGGTGGTGCTTCTCTACCACCTCACGAGGATTAATGCCACAAAACCCCTCTCCCTGCTGTCCCATAAGAGAAAGGGGTCACCTCAACCTCGCCGCCGGAGCACGTGGAACCTGGCAAACTCGTACAGACCATTGCATTTCATCTTTGGGGTTCTCCTGAACCCCTTTGATGGGACCAGTTCATGGGCCGGCACGTACACCAGCGCTGCCTATACACACACGTGACTGGCTGGTCCAGCCCGGCCAAAATAAGGTGACTTTGGCGCTGTGGTTTACGGGAAGTGGCCAGCAGCTGGTCCTCTCAAGCTGATGTCACTGAAAAAAAAAAACTGGAGATGAAAAACAAAGTTTGCCCTTGTTGATTTTTGCTGAAAGTAAATTTTATTTATACGGTATAAAATAGCGAGTGCTGGTGTTTAAAAGCAGCCAGGCACCGGTCTGAATTGGTTTTTCCAGGCGCTTCTTTGCCCTGGACTGACCCGATTCCACCCCGGCGGCGGGCAGAGATCCCCGAAGCGCGTTGGGGGGTGACCAGATCACCCGGCGCAGGTGCGGAGGACGGGCGACGCATTTTGTCTAGCAGACAGCAACCCCTCACTTCCATCTCCAAAAGACACAGAAATCCCCTTTCCCTGGAAGCGCAGCCTCGGGCGGCGCGGCTGGAGGGCTGCAGCGATGCCGCTGCCGCTGGGGCCCGTCGCAGGACGGCGTGCAGGCAACGTCTGCGGGCAGAGGGAACGCGGTGCGTGCGGCTGCCCGTACAGAGGAGGACGAGCGCGCCCGTCCTTGGGTTTCGCAGAGATAGCTGCGAGCCAGGTGCGCAGCCGCAGGGTCTCCTTGGCAGCCCTCACCCCGCGCCGGGTTCGATGGTGTTTATTGTTAAGTCCTGAATCATCTGTTTATTTTCTGTGTTTGATGGGGATGTTGTTGTTTGGGTTTTGGTTTTTTTCCCTCTCCCGCACTGCAGCTGGGAGACATCTCCTTTGGTTTTATGGCAGAGACGTTGTCAGCAGGGGGACAAACAGGACCCTGCCAGCTGCCTAGATTTGGCCGCGAGGGTTGGGGTGCCTTCAGGCTGCCCCAAGAGGGAGAGCAACTCTCCGGAGGAGACCAAAGGGAAGTCTTGCAGCTACTGCAACGTTAAGGAGAATAACCTGCCTTATAACCTGGGCAGGACAAGGAGGCTGAAGCTTATGGGGCGTTCAGGCGAGCGCAGAGCAGAAGCACTTGTAGCATCTGAAGGTCTTCCCATGCAGCACCGCCGTACCCATCCTTTGCCTTATCGTACTCAGAGGGACCTCTCTCAGCTGCGGCTGATGTTGCGTTAAACCTGATGAAGGGGAGGACACAGAGACAGGTTATATCACAGAATCACAGAATCTCCTAGGTTGGAAAAGACCCGTAAGATCATCTAGCCCAATCATTAACCTAACGCTGACAAGCCCACCACTCAACCATGTCCCTGAGTGCTATGTCTACAGGACCTTTAAGTACCTCCAGGGATGGGGACTCCACCACTGTCCTGGGTAACGATTTCCAATGCCTGATGACCCTTTCAGTAAAGAAATTCTTCCTCATATCCAGACTAAACCTCCTCTGGCACAACTTGTGGCCGTTTCCTCTCGTCGTATCAGTTGTTACTTGGGAGAAGAGACCGACCCGCTACCCCCTCCTTTCAGGGAGCTATAGAGAGCAAGAAGGTCTCGCACCTGCGGCGTGGACCGTACGCTCCCTGCGGGGTGGCCGGGAGGACCAGCGGGCAGGTAGGGAAGGGGCTCTGAGGGATGCTCCTGTCCCACCTCTGCAGCTCCGAGAGGCCACGCGGGCAGCGTGGGGCCCTCACTACAAGAAGGACGTTGGGGTGCTGGAGCGTGTCCAGAGAAGGGCAACGGAGCTGGTGAGGGGTCTGGAGCACACGTCTGATGAGGAGCGGCTGAGGGAACTGGGGGGGTTCAGCCTGGAGAAAAGGGGGCTGAGGGGAGACCTTCTCGCAAGGCAAAGGCCGAGGAGCCCGGAGGAAGCCCAGGCAGGCCGATCACTGCCCCCAGCCTCCCCACCTGTCTCTGCCGTACACATCACCGGCAGAAGACAAAACCCTCTCTTTACTGCCGCCATCTGCCTGCAGTCGGCCAGAGAAATATCATCCAAACAACACACTTGCCAACGCCGAGGGCGCACCTGCACGTAGAAGGTTCCCTCCGACCACAGCGTTGAGCATTCGGAGTTTCTTCCCGTTTGCCCGGAGTTGGGCGCGAGGTTTTCACAAAGGCTCCTTTTACCTCCCCTGTTTGCTTTGGGCAAACTGCTTTTTTTTTTTGCCGCCGACCTTGTCTTGCGTGTTGGTGCATCTCCAACTCGCTGTCCCAGAAGTTTTTTTACCCTTTTCTTTGAAAGGTGGCCCTGATCTTCTGGTGTACAAGAGGATTTACCTGATGATAG